CCCCAAAACCCCAAAACCCCAAAACCCCACATAGCAGGAGGTTATAGAATCTTTTCAAATAATGTAGTTACTATTTGGCAAATGGCATTGGACCTTTTGGAGATCTCTTCGCGGTCGCAATCAACAATCAGGTGGCCCAAATTATGGTCTATCTTATCCGGATGATACCTTTTGAGCGCAAAGAATTTCGCCTTCGTCCAAACCTTAGCTTCGGTATCTATAGATTTAACCTCTTTGTTTCGAATTAAGAGGTCCTTGCAGTAATATAAGAAGGTGGTAACATCCACTGGCCATGGGATATCTTTCTCTGAGACTTCGTCAGCTTTGCCCTTATCCACATTTTGGATGAAAGCTTCCCACTTCTGGTTGTACTGGTCCCACTTCTTGACTGTCATGGGCTTTGTCTTTATATACCGCTGGTATTGTTTCTTGTGATCAAGTTTCTCTAAATTTAGCTCTTGTTGTGCCTCCTTTGTGCCTTCAGGGATGTTTTCTTTGATGAATTGGTCGATTTTTACGTTCAAATTTTTAGCGTTTTGCTATTATTTATACCATAAGTTTACGTTGAAGTTGTAGAAGTACCCATACCCTCCTCTTAGGGTCTTTGTCCGCTTGCTGATGTTCTGACGCGAGAGCAGGGAAGACGCTGTCACTGGCTCCTCGCTCTGTTTCTTAGCTGGAGGTGGAGGAATTCTTGTTGTCTTTTCTAGAGAGTTTTATGGGAGAAATGACCAAAGTGCTTACCTTTTTCAAGGAACTCTTTCTGATTTAAAGTTGTAGGCTTGTTTGAGTCCCTTCTTCTTGGCTGAGTGAGATTCTTTCGACAAACATAGGCTCTGTGCTTCATTCTACAGGTTAGGAGCTACTGTACTCTTGCGGTCTTTCAGGCTGCTTTGTTGGCATATCATCTATGTTCACTGAAGAGAGGTCGTTATTTAATAAAACTGATTTATTTCATGAATCTTCATTATCACTTAGAGGACATTTGGTCAGCATTGCTGAGGGATTCGACATAATATCAAAATTCCTTCTTTGCTCAGCATTGAGGGATGGAAATTTAGTGCTCGAAGGTGGTTTATCAAGCATAAACTCAGAACTTTTTAGCCTCTCTTTGGGTAAATACTGAAGACCGACTTGTTTGAAGGTAGGAGCTGCTTTTGCTCTCTCCTCTTTAGCCATTTCCTTAGCAATCTTCCTAATCTGTCTCATGTACTCTCTTGGTTTGTACTTCGGCTCATTGCTATGAAGGTTGAATGCATAGGGGTCTTTTGAAGGCCGCTTGGCAGGTACATGCCTGGTTTCATCTAGAGAGGTTAACAACTAGCTAACTCTGGACAGATTGATAATTTATGCTTGTATAATCTGTTACTTTCAGCATGAGTTTATTTTAACTCATCATTTTTATCATATCTGTCATATTTTGTAAGAAAGTATTCAGACATATGTGAAGAGCTAGAGTGAAGTCAGAGTTAATAGAAAGGATTTATAGCTTACGAGCTCTTTTCATTCTTGGACTTTTGACTTGTGAATGAGTCGTTTGCTTCATTACCATCTATATATAATTCTATCTGCCTTAAGTAGAAGTGATTGCTGCTATTTTAGTTAAACCCAACTCTCTTTATAGAAGAAATTGCTTGGAAATCCTTTAAGTCATATTTTAACACACAAAAAGTAACTCAAATAGAGATAGGGATATCTTGGATGCACTCAAACCTAGGCATTATTCCTGAAGCCTCAAGGCTCCTTAAGATCCCAAAGCTGGGATAAACCAATGGCATAGCTATATTTATACTTGCTTGAATGATTTTGATAGATTTTGTGCCTAAAATTACATTCTGAATGTACTTCCGAGAGATACTTTTTTGTTCAAATAAGCTAGTTTTTGGGCTCTTCATATACGATGGTTGGTACTTCTTTGATGCCTTCGTGAGATATTCTTGCCGCTCTGTATTCCAAAGAGGTTAAGCTTAGCCACCAATGAATTTGAGTGAGCAAACAGTCATAGTTATGACAGCATTACTGAGATTTTACCTTTGAAAATGTCCATATTTATATTCAAATATGAATAAATCTTGGGGTTTTGGGGTTTTGGGGTTTTGGGGTTTTGGGG